GGTTTTAATCCCAGGGATAAATTTGTGCGACCAAAGAGCTGTTATAAGTGAACATATGGCTGGGTTAAAATTTAGCATTCTCTTGTTAAATGTGCATGGAACAAAGAATTACCATGCAGTCTAAACAAATCACTAGGACTTTGTTTTATTTTCCAACTGAGGATTAAATAAATGTTGGTTTAAAAATTAACCTTTCCCCAATCACTGTAATGCCTTAGATTCAGGCTTGGTGGAGAGAAGTCTGTGTTTTAATTTACGATAGAAGAATTTGTTAAATTTAAATGCTTCTCTCCCCTAAAGTTTGTTTTAAAGAGCAATGTAATCTAGTTTTATAGCTAGCAGTCTTGTGCATGCTTTGAAATAAATTCTATTTAGTTCAAATTTTGCTTTAAGGAAATTTGGATAGAATAGCATATGATGAAGTGAGCATTGTGCCTTTTAATAAAATGTGTTAGTCAGAAAAGGTGCTTTCAGACTCTCCTGCTTTTTTGGCTCCTGAGTTAATGCAACTCTTCTCTGAAGGATAGAACTGGCCCGCCTATATTAAGTTTCAGTTCTTAGTCCTTTTTCGCTGCCAGCCCCTTAAAAATATACTTTAGGACTGAAGTTGATAAAAGTGACTTCTGCTTATCTAACTCCACGGCTGGATATGCATTTGTGTGTTAATTCTAATGTCTAATCCAAGTTTGTACAGTTTTCATGAGCTGAAGTTGCTACTGAGAAGGCAGGCAGAGATTTCAAGAATTCAGTGGCAGTGCATTGTGGTAACCATCACTGAATGAAAGCTAGAAGGCTGCACAAACATCTGTCATTGTAAGAATGTTTGATGTGTTGTAAGGAGGAAGGAAAAAGTATCCTGTCTAGCGGTACCTTTTAGCCCCTTTTATTACCAGATGTGTAGCCATAGTTAAAATGTGGCAGATTGAATTCAATGCATGCAGTAAATCCTTAGAGTCAAAAATTCCAAAGGCAGCAGAAATTTGGGGTTTCTATTTAAGTCTGCCCAAAGGATGTATTACCTAAAGTTTTACTGCATACCAATTTAAGCCATGCTATTATGTAAGATAATGGCAGCTCCCTTTCAACACTTTTGAGAGCATGTATAGAATCTAAGCTTGGACCCCAAATGGTGGTATCTGAAGGGCTTAATTAGGAACAGTTGAGCTGAGAAGTAAAACGCATGGACGTTGGCCTATATAGACTGCACAAGCTTGTCTATCAAATTAAAACCAAATACAGCTTTTAATGTACTTGACTTTACAAGCCTCTCTTAATTGCTCCCTGCACTATATCTTTTTTTTTTTTAAAGTTTAAAAGCTATTTCAAAAAATTCTCAGGTCATTGAAAGGCAGCTGCTGATTTGTCACTTTCTTCTTGCCACATGGATTCAACAAAGCCTTTTCAATTAGTACTTTAATATGTCTTTTTCCCAGCTGGGTCACAGCCAATATTTTCCTTCCATCTTTGTTGAGGAAGATCTATGTCCTTTAAAACTCTTACTTTGTTTCCTCTTCGGTGTAAAACTGTGGATTTAATGATGTTTAACTCATAAATTTTGTCTCTATTCCTTCCCAAGTGATTTGTTTGAAAAGTATGGTGGTTTTGTTTTCCCCCCATTAGTTTGTTAGCACATTGAAAGTGAAAGGGGTTTATCCTGTCGAATACCCTTTATCCTGCTGATTAGGTTCTGCCAATAAAGCTGTCAGTATTCTCCTGATGCAGTACTTTATGCTCCTATCTGCATAACAAAACATTATTTGAATAATTCATTGTAACCTTTTTTATGGTGATAAAGTGAGGCCGATATCTGCTTCACTAAACTACATCCTCTTAAGAAATTGCTTCCAGGTTTTTGTTTTATGAAGGAGAGAGGGCAACGGAGCAGATAAAGTTAGCAGAATTGCCATAGTTTAGGCTTGGAAATCTGGATTTGTGGAACATTAGTACTTGTAATTAAACTAGAAATTGTGAAAGTATTCCAAAATGCCAAAAAATTATAACATTGCTTGTTATTGTTTTCCATGGATATGAACAGTCTGAGTATGGAAAAAAATGACTAATTAATGAACAAGCTGATGAAAAGTTGTATGCTGTACCTCCAGACTCCCTACTTAATAAAGAAAGCGGCACTTTTTTCTGTTCTAAATCTAAATAAAATAAAAATATTTTGAATTATAAGATGTCAGAATCCAACTTTAGGATGAATCAGGTATTTTTGGATTCTACTGCCCCATTAAATGCTGAAAAAAGGTACAGATGTGTCTGTGTATATATAAGGGGGAGGGGCTTTGAGAAAATGCTTTTTTAAAATACATATTTATTTACTGAATTTGTACTCTGCTGCAATCAAAAAAATATACATAGAAAAAACTAAAAGATCCATTGTAAAAAATTAAAGGAAATATCATGCATTGTTCAATCTAATGGCACCAACATATTCTTCTAGGGTTCTCCCAAAATTGTTTTCTGTAAGTTGTTGAAAACTAAGTAGAATGGGATCAGATTGAATTATGGGGGGGAGGGGGAGAAGATGAGGAGGACTATTACAAATGTAGGTGCACCCACTAAGAAGGGGTCTCTTTGACCTTCCATCCTACCCTTACCTCATGGGAATGGGGAATTACAAGCATATTTTCCTGAGAGGTTTGCGGTGGGTGGGTCAAAACTGATCCTCAAATACTTGAGTGTTAAGCCACTTTCTCACTTTCTGTATGAAAGCTTCCTTTTGAACTGAATTAAACCAATACAGTGAAAATCCAGGCTGGATTGGGGATCTTGATACCTCTTATATTGCCAATCAAATTAGAGTAATAATAGAGCCTCAGGTTCATTACAGAAGTTGAGGTTGTTTAATGCAAGTGTGCATAATTCTTTCCAGTCTGAGAGTTGCTGTTGGTACATCAAAGCCAGACTTAAATAACCAAGCAGGGTAAACAGAATGTAACAGGTGGGACTAAAGTAAAATTATAATTTGCATAAAATTAAATTCAGTTATTGTTATTACTGCTTAAGTTTGGAGGAACACTAAATACTGAGCCTATGGCTTTGGGAATATGTAACCTTGGGATTTCAGGTTGTGTGTACCTTTGTTCTAGTTAACATATTAAAATCATGAAGCTTCAACTACTAGGGGATTCCTAGTGCTATCACCAAAGGACATCACCCAAGTATTCCATTGTTCCCTCTCCAGTGTTTTGAAAAAAGAAACAAAGGGAAAAAAGGAGGATTTCTAGTATGAGGAGAAATTATCTGGAGTCCTGACAGATGTTATGAATGAAAAAGATCTATTCTGGGAGTCTCTTAGGATAGATAACACAATTGATGTTGCCAGGAATCTTTTTTTTTCTTATATATTAGACAAGCACAGATAGTTTACCCAAAAGCCAAATACTTGCATAAAACGTTTCAAATTGATTATCCTGATTTTTAAAAGAAACTATGCAGCAGCAGCAACATATTAAAACAGTGCAAACTTTTTTTTTTTTACATCAACCTGAAGTCTTGAATGGATATGGTAAGAATGAATGGTGACACAGGAATGGTGCTGAATTAGGCAGTCACCAGACAGAAAACGCAGATGTTTCACTTTTTGATAATTTTAACAGTTTCTGGAGAGAAGAATGCAAGGAATTTCAGCCTTATGTCAATCAACAGGGCAAAATGAAAACCTGATATAATTAATCCCACTTGAATCCATTGGTTTGTCTTTCCCATCCCTTTTGTGCCCCAATTTGGCTTATCTACTATATCAAATAGTGGATTTCTGTTAGGCTACTCTTTTTGTTTTTTTCTCATGCACAGTGAAACTTTTAAAGATAATTTGAGCATAATTTCTAAAGAGATTAGAATGTAGGAAGAGTCAGTGGAAAAAAAAACCACTACAGTACAGGAAAACCTTATTCTCTGATTATGTTTTGGATCCATCCAAATACTATATATAGAAAATGGGCACAAAAAGCAGTACAACAACTGGAATAGTTTTCTTCACTGGAAATAATTCTGTCACTTCTTCCATACAGATTTTGAGTATGCCATGAATGCTGTAGTCTAGTATACTCAGGCCACATTATCTGGTTCAAATAGCAGCACAACCTGTATTTCCTCTGCTTTCTGGAGTTTGGGGGGTTGATATTTGGGGTTTCTTGTGTTACATTGAGCTCCACAAACCTATATCCTGAGGGAGTAGATTGCTTCATATGGATGAGTACCGGTAATTATATTATCAATTATATTATCAATTCATGTCTGATTCTTTAATGCTTTATAATAAGTATTGCTTGGGAATTTTCTTCACTTTGTTCTGAATTGTCTTGCCTGAATGCATTGGT